GAAATAAGATATGGAAAATAATTGCAACGCGCTCCACTGGGACAGTAAACGATCAACAGCTTGCTTCAGCGATAACCAGCGAACGTTTGACAATTTTATGATTTTTAACACCAATGTAGTTTTGAAACTCAGCAATTCATCCACCCTTTTAGCACTATGTGGAAAGAAATTGTAAACATCTCTGGCAAGTTTTTCGACTTCTACGGGAAGTCAAAATTCACCGAAAAACGTATCACTTTTGATCTACTTGGATCGAAACGGTCACACTGGTACTCCTATCATGTAGTATGTATGTATGTTAAAATCCCAGCCAGCAGAGAAACGTACTTTTTGCCGAAAGTGCAGTTTTCGCACATTTTTCGTATCCGGAAAACGAAAATATTTGTTCAAACTGAGCATTTGAAAACATGTATACGTATTCGTCAGTAGCTGAGTGTGCAGAGAAGTGTGCTACTATTTGTTAGCTTCCATGAGGTCCCAGGTTCGAATTCCGTCAGAAGCAACACATTAAAATTATTTATTCAAATTAAATTAATCGCTGAATCTTAAATTTGTTTTTTGTTCGGTTTCCTGTAACTATGAAAAAGTTTCTGTGAAGTTCATAATGAAATCGTGTTCAACGAAAAATTTAATCAGACAAATTTCAAGAAAACAGCCGAAAGCGCATCCGTTTTACAACCATTTTCGATAGTTTTCTGCACATACGTTTCGGCTGAACACTTTAGTGGGAGAATTGATCTGAAAAACGTCCGAAAACGGAATCGGAAAACGGATGAAACATCAGGTTTTTATACGAAATTGTTTCCATTTTCGGATACGTTTCCGGATATTTTGCTGGCTAAGATAGTTTCGGCCTGAAATTGTTTGTTTAAAGTTTAAATCTTAAACTGTAAAAGCTTAAACAGATCCGGATCAACGCTGCCGTCTGTTTATGCTTTTAGAGAACTTGTTCTTCGCCATATCTACAAATTAGGGCTGTGCGATTAATTGATTACTCAAAATCTTAAATAATCATAAAGTAAATAACTCAGTTATTCGATTAATTAAAAGTTATGATTACTCATAAGTTCTGTTACTCGAGTAATCAAGATTTTTGATTAACCAAAAACAAAAATATTTGAGTAATTTGCTTTATGATTAATCAACATTTCGAGTAAAATGAGTAATCAACATTTCAACTCTTTACATATGTATATATAAAGTAGTAAAGTTCCTTGATACTTTGAAAACAACGTTTTTGTTTTCAAAAATTAAAACGAAAATTTTTTTTTCATATACAGAATGTAAAAAAGAAAATAAGCATTTTCCAAAGCAAACTCTTTTAACGAGCAAAATTATTTTTTTTGAGTAATCATATTTCAAGTAACTCGATTAATCATCGTTTTGAGTAATCAAAATCTTGATTACTCGAGTAATTGATTAACCGAATAATTGATTAACCAACTTGCTCGAGGAATCGAATAATCGCACAGTCCTACTACAAATACTTGTATATGAACACATTGAGACGTATGAACGGATGTACATATATTCATACATTTTGCACCTCGTTTTTACTTCACGCAGTGAAAACTCTAGTGTGGTGACGGCATTACATATGTACATACAGTGACGGGCAAAACTGTAACATGGTGTAACACTACCACCGTAACAATTTGTAACGACTTTCATACTTCTGTTGTATATTCTTATTGGTACAGCTGTACCAGCAGTCAAAAATGTAAGTTAATGCAAGTGTTACAGTTATGCACTCATATATATTTAAGAACTTTTTAACAATTTTCACGGAGGAACAGAACTATTCACACAATGTTCAGTACTCTTTTGCTTTTTTTAGTTCCTAGATGCGATTTGGAATACCTTATTTGTATCTCTGTAAAAATTCTGGAGGTATATCCTCCCATATATCCTTAGTTTGCTTTCACAGCTCATGTACTCCATTGTACGGACTTGGATACTTAGTAAGCTGTGCTTTTGGTTGATTTCGCAAATTCTCGCGGATTGTGGAGGTCATTTCAAATTAGCAAATTTGTGCTTTTGTATCCAATTTTTGCGAACATGTGTCGTGAGTTTTGGGTGATTTTTCAGCAGAAACTCTAATTTTTTCGACTACATCTTGCAAATTTTGTTGAAATATGAACAGTTACTGTTCCTTACGCATAATGTGTACTAACGGACCAACAACAGTTTTTAAATACCACCCCAATCTATTATTGACCGACCACTGTGATTCACAGTTTGCCTTACATGATGCGCATGAGCTTAATTTGGGTCTTTGATCCAATACCATGCCCGGCCATCTGATTGACAGCGATTAATTTATTCTTGTCAGACCAAATAACCTTCCATTAAATCTTAAGAATTTGTTTTTTATTGCATTCTGTAAGGCCTAACATATCCCAATTGACAACGGACGGTTTTCGTGCGATGCACCTAAATGCTACCATTCTCGCACATGTATTTTGAACAAATTTGCTTTTTTCTTCTTTTATGATGCCTTTGCGCTCATTTTGAAAATTCTTCGCCTTGCTGTCTACTGATAATACTCTACTGTACTAGCGGCTGCATCGCTACTTGCTGCTAAGTTCACAAGATATCGGACCGTACTATTTTTTGACAGACTTTCTTTGTCGCTGGGAACACTTTAGGCTATATTTTTTCTCAGTGTTAACATTTTCAAGTAGCAAGCTTTAATATTTTTTGCCACTTTTCCTGCAGTTCCGTCTTTTCGCAGTAAATCTTTTATTTACATTTATGTTTCCTGATAAACCATATTATTTACTGGTGATCACTTTTTGAATATATTACAATACAGAAAAAAGTCATCTGACATCCAACTAAGTAAAAGATAACTGTGAAATGCAAAACTAAGAGTGAGTGCAAAACTAACATTTGCCTTAATTTACATTTTTGTCTGCAAGTTTTGTTATTGTTGGTGGATTAACTTCAAATCGTTATGAGAGAGGGAGTAGGGGTGTACCAATAAGAATATACAAAAAAAGGATAAAAGTCATTAGAACTTGAAAATATAGCGGTGGCTGAAATAAAAAGTGTTGCACCATGTTACAGTTTTGCGCGTCACTGTACCTACATATGTACATACGTACATATACTATATGTACTTATATAAATGCATTTTAAAGTGATCAAGCACGTAATAGTTAACGTTTTCCTTTTCGGCTAACATACTATGTAATCTATTAACTATGCTAACGACAAAATTTGTGTCATTGGAGCTAATTACTTGCATCACTAGCGTATGCATGTGAGTTTTTAGCATACTTGCCAAATACCTAATTACTCGATAATATTAAATCTTTAATTTTGGAATTCAACCGGTTTATCAGCAACTTGACCTCTGCCTGTTTTGTTTAATTATATTTCCAAGTTTGTACACATATGTATGTATATAAATAAGAAAGTGTTTATATATGCTCTACCAGAGACCAATTGGAAATTTCCAAACAAAGTCAACAATAAAAGAATACCTACATACATAAATATGCGTATACAATGCATGCACTTCGCTAAGACTGATAAGCACATATTGTTATCTAAATATATTTACATACCAGAGCTGGGTGATAAGGATTACAATTACTAAACGATTAGGATTGCAGTAATCCCATCAAGCTAAAAAAACAAGATTACGATTACAGTAATCGAACGAACTTAGATTACGATTACAGTAATCGTAATTTTAACTTTTTAATTCAAGTTCTTTCCAACGAACGATTACTTTAACTGTAATCCTATGTTGTTTTATTTGCCGGTTATACAAAGTTTATTTCGCCCAAACTACTTTACTTATTATTTTTATTTTAATATTAGTTTCTTTTATTTGTCGTCTTTTTTTTAGATAAATACATATTATCCTTATATTATTTATATTTCGTAAATTTGTAGAATTATTTCGTTTAAGATAACTCAAAAGATTGTAATTAGAAAAATTGTAAATTTAAAATTATTGTAATCATTCATCGAACGAACTTAGATTACGATTACAGTAATTGTAATTTGGGTATAGTCCCAGAGGACTATCCAACCACAGTGTGGTCAACGGATGAGCTCAGAGCTATCCAAAATGCCATCCTCAGGGCGGTCAGGAGCAACACAGTTAGCGCTGTAAAGCCTATCTTCAAGGGTTGCACCTTCCATGCGGGATGGCTATCCATAAGTTGCAGAGATGCTGCGACCGCGGGGTGGATAAGGAACACTGTTCCAAAGCTGGATCCATGGAAGGAGGCGAAGATGAAAGTGGTCGAGGAGGCAGAAACACCTCGCCGCATCATTCTTGTGGGACTCTTCCCGGAGCTGGACAGCTCAGCCAGTGAGGATGCGCTCAGTCTGCTTCAGGCACTGAATGACGGCCTGAGAATTCCGGACTGGCGCATTCTGAATCGAGTACGCAGGTCAACAATGGCGGAAATCACCATTGCAGTTGACCCGCAATCAGCAGACACGCTAAAGCACCGCGGGAACGTGGTAAACTATGGCTTTGGCGTAGTAAAACTTAGGGAGAAATCCAAACCGTCGATGCCCGTGGTAGATAAAGATGCCGCCGACACCGATTACCCTAACTCGGATGAGCAACCTTGCTGCTCCAAAGACGTCGTCGTAGCTCCCAGGCAGCTACCCACTGACACGCAAGTGCAGCAGAAGTCATCGGAGGTTGACACTGGTATAGACCCAACAGAGCTACACGTAATACATAAAGCTCCAACGACGCCTCCGAAAACAGCAACAACAACATGCCCGACCCTACAACAGGTGCTGGAAGAAGCCCAAAAGAACGTCGGACCCATCGCATCTCCAAAGCCTGCAAAACGGCTACCACTACGTGGCAGCTCCAAAGCGGTTATTTCCATCCGCAAAGGCAAGGGAGATGCAAGGACGGCTGAAGAAGCGGTCTTGCTGAAGGGCAACAGGGGGAAGAAGGTGGCTGCTCGCGGCCGAAAAGACCGCAAGTAAACACCCAAAACGCACCCAAACTTCAAAAAACCGAGGCACATTAAATGCCTCCAAGTGAACCTTCACCACGCTAAAGCAGCATCAGATGTTTTGCATAAGAGGTTCACAAACGAAGGCTTAGGTGTAGCCTTCATCCAGGAACCCTGGATATTAAGAGGTGACGTCAAAGGCCTTAATATAAAGGACGGTAAGATTATCTATGCCGCCAGCTGTCGCCCAAGAGCGGCGATGCTATTAAGTAACAGACTAACGTTTCTCCCTCTTTCACAGTTCATTACGGCAGATCTCGTTGCGGTATGGGCCAAAATTCCGACTCCTAGGGGGGTGAAAGAGGCAGTACTTGCCTCCGCGTACTTCCCGGGTGAAGAGGAGATAGCCCCGACACCTGAAGTAAAGGCGCTTACTGATCACTACCTTGGATCCTCTGCTGTGGCCCATAGCACTGTCTGGGGGAGCACCGACACCAACAAAAGGGGTGAGTGCCTACTTGAGTTTATAAGTAGTTATAATATAAGTATTATAAACCATGGCAATGAACCAACGTTTAGGAACGCTATTAGAGGGGAAGTCTTAGATTTTACTCTAAGTAGTCAGAACATGGCAGCATCTGTCACAAACTGGCGCGTCTCAGGGGAGGTATCAATGTCGGACCATATGCACATAGAATTCGACATTGGCCACTTTCCTGAGCATGAACTAGTTTTTAGAAATCCCAGAAAAACGAACTGGGAATTCTTTCGCTTTATCATGGAAGAAGGTGGAAACAGCCATGGTGGTCAAATTACGACTGCGCACGAGCTTGAGACTGAAGCTGAACAGCTTCATTCAGACATTAGAATAGCTTTTGATAGTAGCTGCCCCCAAGGAAAGGTAAAATCCAAACGTGATGTGCCTTGGTGGAGCAAGAAGCTTGAGCAAATGAGATGCCAAGCCAGAAAACTATTCAATAGAGCAAAGAATACGGGTGATTGGAATCCGTACAAACTTGCACTAACTTCTTACAACAAAGAATTGCGGAAATCCAAAAGAGCTAGCTGGCGAAACCACTGCGAGGAAATAAAGAGCCTCCCAGAGGCAGTACGCCTCCAAAAAGCTCTAAATAGGGAACACAAAAATACGATCGGCACTCTAAAGAAACCAGATGGTAGTTATACTCAGCATCCGGGAGAGACTTGCAGACTTCTGCTAGACACTCACTTCCCGGGCTGCAAAGCGGGCTATTATCTACCGGAATTGGGTGTCCCAGCACGCACTTCTGGTAGAGAGCAAAGCCTTGCCACTAAACTTACCACGGTAGAAATAGTGCAATGGGCGGTATCTACATTTAGCCCATACAAATCACCAGGACCAGGAACAAGGAAGTAACTACATAGTCCCAGTCCTCTCCAGACTATACAGAGCGTCGCTCGTACTGTGTCACATTCCCAGTAGATGGACAGAGGCTAAGGTCGTATTTTTACCGAAGGCAGGTAAACCGGAGCAAATGCCTTCATCCTACAGACCAATTAACCTCAGCTCCTTTCTCCTAAAAGGCATGGAGAAAATCTTGGATCAACACATCAGAGAAGTCAACCTAGCGGAACGGCCACTGAATAAGAACCAATTTGCCTATCAACCAGGCAAGTCCACTGAGACTGCCATTCACAGCCTTACATCGAATTTCGAAAAGGCTCTGGAGTCTAAGAACATAGCCCTTTGTGCCTTCATTGACATTTTAGGGGCTTTTGACAACACGTCATACAGGGCAATAAGAGATGCCCTGATATGCAAGGGAGTGAGCCCCATCATAATAAATTGGGTACTTTCTATGCTAAAAACAAGGAAGATCAGGATGGAGCTGGGAGGTACGGAAGAATATATTACAGCCACAAGAGGTTGCCCTCAAGGGGGTGTACTCTCTCCTCTTCTGTGGACTATGGTTATAGACGAACTCCTCTTCCTACTGAACGACCATGGCTTTGAAACACAAGGCTATGTAGACGATCTGGTAATTTGTGTAACAGGGCTGCATGGCGAAACGATCTCCAACCGCATGCAACAAGCCCTGCGCATTACGCAAAGATGGTGTGACACCAAAGGATTATCCATTAATCCTACTAAATCTATTCTGGTTCCGTTTACCCGGAGGAAAAAGTTATCCATGACAGAATTTACTCTGGGCGGCACTAGAATAGGAATGAAGCAAAATACCTGGGGGTGTGGCTGGATAAGACACTCACCTGGAATTTACATTTGGATGCAACCGTAAACAAGGCAATGAGAGCCTTTTTCGCATGCACGCGACATTACGGGAAGACATGGGGACTCTCCCCCAAAATGACTTACTGGTCATGCAACGCAGTTGTGAAGCCGATAGTCACCTATGCATCCTTGGTATGGTGGACAAAAGCGACACAAAGAACTGCTAGCGCAAAACTTAGCAAACTGCACCGAATGGTGTGCATTGGTATAACAGGAGCTATGCGGACCTGGCCTGCTGATGCACTTAGTGCTCTTGTAGGCATACCGCCCTTTCCAATTCTAATAGAGAGGGAGGCCAGTCTATCGGCACTGAGAATCCTAAATACTTCCGAGTTAAAAACCGTAAACATGACAGGTCATATGAAGGTCCTTATGAAATTCACAAATTACCCTATAATGCATATGAGGGACTCAGTAGCTCCGATACTAGTAATTTCTAGGAATTTCAAGGTATCTATTGCGGACCGAGCATCCTGGAGCACAGGAAACCCCTACACCAAACCCGGAGCTGAAGTTTGGCACACTGACGGATCAAAACTTGAAGATGGAAAAACTGGAGCTGGTATATTTGGGCCGAATTTTAAAAGATCGATACCAATGGGCAGCTACCCCACCATTTTCCAAGCAGAGATTCATGCGATCGATATCTGTGGCAGAGAATGCCTCAGAAGAGGCACATCCTCTAAAAACATCTGCATTATGTCGGACAGTCAGGCTGCCTTGCTAGCACTGAGGTCCCACATAATAACATCCAAACTAGTGTACGACTGCCTCAACACCCTAAACGGTCTTGGAAGCAAGAACACAGTATTACTGGGCTGGGTGCCGGGGCACGAGGGCCATGACGGCAATGAACAGGCGGACGGCCTAGCAAAACACGAAGCTACCACACTATTCCATGGCCCGGAACCCTTTTGCGGGCTCACCAAAGCCCACTTAAGGGAGGTCATAAACAAGTGGGTCGACAAAAAATTCGATAGGCACTGGAATGAATGTCTGGGACAAAGACAAGCTAAGCGGTTCATCTGTCCATCACAAGAAGCTTTAAAAAAGCTCATAAATCTAGGCAGGGAGGACCTTCGAACTGTCACTGGGTACTTCACGGGACATTGTTCCCTGCGTTATCACCTCAGTAAAATGAATCTTTCAGACACGAGCGTCTGTCGCTTCTGTGAGATGGACTCTCGCATGTGTGTGTGAATGTGGTGCTCTCGCTAGACGCAGACTCGCTCACCTAGGTGGTACAACACTTCATCCATTCGAAATATGGAACAAAAAGCCCACCGAAGTGCTAGCTTATATTAAAAGTCTTCACGTATAGGGTAAAGGGCCACGCACAATAGACCACCCTAGAGGTCGCAGTGCTCAAGGCTCATAATAATAATAATAATTGTAATTTTAAAAAAGTTAAAATTACGATTACTGTAATCGTAATCTAAGATACCTTTGATGAACGATTACCGCAATCCTAATTCAATAATTTTTGAATTTGCGATTAAAGTAATAGTAATCCTAGATGAAATCGATTACACACGTAATCCTTATCGCCCAGCTCTGGTACATACTATATACACAGAAACAGAGCAGTTGTACCCATTTTGTAAGTGGCATCTTTTTAGTTGTAATGCAGGACCAAAGTCTCCTAATTAAGGATTTATACACTGTAATTCCAGCGTCACTCAAGCTACATACATTCGATATACAGTCGGTGCCAAATGTAAGTGTACACCTTTTTGTAATATAAAATTCACAATTATTTTCTTCCATATAACGCGTGATCAAACCATATTTTTATATAGAAGAAAATGCGCAACAACCTCCACAAAAAAAAATTCTAAAAAGTGAACGGTAATTTGTAGCGACTTGAAACCTGCACTAAAATGGAACGGGCTACAAAACTGCATACTCAAAAATTTTCTAGAAATTCTGAATAAACATTTTTAAATTTTGATGAAAATTGTTTGAATTTTTGGGAACTTTACATAAAGTGTGAAACTTTGATTTATATGGTTTATATTATAGAATGAACTATATTTTCATAAATAATGAATGAAAAAAGTTTTGCATGAAAATATTGTGAATTTTATGTTACAACTATGAACTAGTTTCATTATATGAGAAATGTGTGCTTTGAATCTTTAAATTTTATCTCTTTTCTAGTTTTCAACTCACAAAACTTTAATCTGTATAGTTGTAGTAAATTGAACCACAAGATGCATTTCGAAGTTTTCTGGCAGCAGTTTTATAAGATTTTCGCGAAGAAAACTCTTGAATGTACTAAACGTGCGCTGACGTGAGTTGATACAAGTGGCCCCTAATTTAAATATAGAACGTTTAAAGCTTTCATATTATCATAAATAAGGGATTTTTCCTTGCCATTTATAATTGAAAGTTAGAAAAGGCAAATATCTTAAAAAAGGCAAAAAAAAAGCAAACATCAAATGTGTATGTATGGAATCAGAGAGAGCTAAATCGTGGACATTGTTAATCGAATACACTCTATCTCTTTAGCAGAAAAAAGGCAATTTCCATAAAATCCGTTCGCTGGTTATTATTAATCAAGCACGATAATGTGATTATGTTGTGCCGATTATCGTCGCATATTAAATTGGCCGGTATGCACCGAAAAAGATTGTCATAATATGCGATGATAACTTGCTGCCTCCAAAGGCAAAAGTTTTTATCTTGATAATGTTATCAGGCAAAATTTTGCCATGGAAACCGCATATTGCTCTTGGCAAGCAGAGCTTTTATCTTGATAAATATTGCCAGAAATTTGGTACTTTGACAGCTAGATTTTCATTTGCGCAATAACTTCGTGGGAACAACAATATTGATATTTTAATATAAAAGCAAAAATTAAGTTCTTTTCTATTAAAATATTTGTTATTATGTGAAATAGCATATTTTATTTTTTTCAGTGGTTAAATCCGGCAAAAATAGCCATATTACAAATGCTTTTATCAAGATAAAATATGCCCACACACAAATACAGCCTCTGATAAAATTTATATCAGGCAATAAAAATGGCACTTGGTAAGCAAACGTTTTTGCTTTTGGAGACGGGCCGTAATGGGACCACTCGAAAAGTAGTTGCACAAATTTTTTAAATATGTAACAATCCATCACGATGCAAATCGGTACATATTGTGCTATTTGCGCCGATAGTGGGATCTTAGCTTAATACAGTTTTCACCAATTTTTAATTTTCTATGGAAGTTCTAACATTCATCAACAATACATAGCAGTTTTGAGAGTTATGAATACCATATTTTGGCGGTACGTTATGCATACCCTGATTCACTTGAATAACACATGTTTTTTCTTCAAAATCCAAGTACAAGTCTCGGGCATCGGAGAAGCTTCATTTTATTTAACCTCATTGATAAGAATGATCAATTGGTTAAAATGAAAAAAAAGAATCAACTTTCGCTTTTAAGCAGCATTTTATCAAACTACAGAAAAGATCTGTTAATTTTTGGAATTGTTTTGAATAATAGGGTGATTGACTCGGTTTTTCCAAAGCAGTTTCCACCGGTTTTCTTAGATATCTATAGGCGTTTTTTTTGAATCCTTGATTTTTCGAATATCGAATAAACCGTATTATTTTTATCAAAAAAACCTGTTTCTTTTCACAAAAATCTTGACCTCAATAAAAGTTTTGAGTTTTTCAAAGTTTTCAAGGCTTTTTCCCGATTTAGGAAACCAATTTTCCAGTTTAAGGAAGGTTATTTGGGGTATGAGCAGCACATCATATTTGATCCTATAAATTAATGTTTGGCGCTTAAACGTTTCCTACGTGTTTGGCCGAGCTTCTCCTCCAATTTGTACTCGGCTTCTTGACTATTACTCCACCTCCGAAGGTAATGCTTTATGGCATATGTACACTTGTAGGTTTGCCATTGTCTTCCGAGGGGCGACCGCTATTTGAAAAATTTATTTTTATTAATTTTTTTTTGATATTAGTAGGACTTTATCCAGTTTTTTCTTAATTACAAAATCGGAAATCGGTTTTTTTAAATTAAAATTTTTCGAATAACTCGAAAACTGGTTTTGGAAAAAGGTGGTACCCTAATAAATACAGTGGTTTTATCACAAGGAAATAATTAAATTGAACCAACAAAATCATACCATTTTTAATTCCACTGTCTAACACTATCTACTAGTATTGGGTATGCTCCACCAATGGATTGGAAAACTATGTCCGGAAAACTGTTGTAGGTGCTTTTTATTAATTCAAGAACATCTCGCTCTTTATAACAATTGAAGTTTTCGCTGAGAAAACTCCCGCTGTCTAGTCCTGCTGCCAAGACATTTAAGGCGTACATAATTCCAGTCGTGATTCTAAACATTGTACATTAATTGATTTTCTTAAGAGAAAGTTTTCGAGTTTAAGTTTTTATAGCGAAATCGCAATCTATTTTTTGGGGTTATAAGCACTACTGTTTTTAGTTTTGGTCCACAATAAGAAGCTGTAATTTTTTTTTTATAAATTTTAAGAGTTGATACTTTGATACTTTTTTGTTCACAAATACACCATTTTGACACTTTTGGCTGATAGAAATGAATTTTTGAAAACTATGAATGATATTACTAGTTTAATGGCAAATAATTTTTTGAAGTCAAACTTCTTTATCGGCGGTTGGTTGGCTGGGAGTAAATTGGCAAATTCAACGGAAATTGCACACGGAAATAGTGCAACGGAACTGGTGCAATGGAAATGGTGCAACGGAAATGGTTGGGGCTGAAACAAGTGCTTCTTGCGTGTATGCATATGGTATTAATTTAAGAAAAATTTGCTAATAAATGGGTAAAGAATAACACTTAGAAAAAGACCAATACAAGAATGAAAGTAAAGGCGAGTACGTACATAGATAAAGAAAAGGATAAAGGCAAAGGTAAAGATAAAAACAAAAATGCGTAAAGATATGGGCAAAAATGAAGACCAAGGTAAATTTAAACACTTCACTTATATAAGGGCAAAGGTGAAGGGGAATACATATGTAGATGAAGAAAATGATAAACATAAAAGTAAAAACAAAGATGAGGATGAGGATACCGATAAAAGTAAAGATGAAGATAGGGGAAGAAAGATTAAAATAAAGGGAATTAAAGAGGAAAGGATATAGAGAGAGAGACACAGACTCAATCTGGGAACTATTTTGAGATTTTCGGGATTCTTGGGACTTATCAATAAAATAATCGATATTTTTATCGGTTTTTTATCGATATTTATCGGTTTTGTTATCGATATTTATCGATTTTGTTATCGATATTTATCGGTATTTACCGATTTTGTTATCGATATTCATAGATTTTGTTATCGATAATTAGCGACTTTGTTAGCGATATTTATCGATTTTGTTATCGATTTTGTTATCGATATTTATCGATTTTGTAATCGATATTTATCGATTTTGTTATCGATATTTATCAATTTTGTTATCGATATTTATCAATTTTGTTATCGATATTTATCGATTTCGTTATCCATATTTATCGATTTTGGTATCGATATTTATTGATTTTGTTGTCGATATTTATCGATTTGGTTATAGATATTTATCGATTTTGTTTTCGATATTTATCGATTTTGTCATCGATATTTATCGATTTTGTTATCGATATAAATCGATTTTATTATCGACTTGGTTATCGATATTTATCGATTTTGTTATCGATTTTTTGATCGGTATTTATCGGTTTTGTTATCGATATTTTTATCGATTTTCTAATCGATTTAGCTACCAATGGTATTATCGATGTTGCTATTGAAATTTTTATCGAATTTGTCATCGATTTTGGTTTAGATATTTTGATAGATGTTATAATCGATTTTGTTATCGATAGAGTATAAAGATAAAAATGAAGATAATGGAAAAACCGAATAACATGAATGTTATTAAAGCGAACAGTGATCGAGGTAGGGATCTACATTGATAGCAAAAAAGAGAAAAATATAACCTTAAGCAAAAGCATATGTCCGAATGTGCGTATTTGCGAACCGTTTGCTGCGTAGACGGCCTGGATTGTTGTTGATTTACATTTCGTATCGTTTGTGCTTACTGGGATCACCGAGATGTCTGCTCCGGTGTCGATGAGAAACGGTTGGTTGTCGTAAAGATTTTTGATGAAAAGGCGGAGGCTGTCATTACCATTTCCGAGCTGGCAAGCCCCTCTCGTAGCTTATACTCGGCACT